TGTCTATCTATCTATATCTGTCTGTCTGTATCTATCTATCTATCTCTGTCTGTCTATCTGTCTGTCTATCTATCTGTCTATCTATATCTGTCTGTCTATCTGTCTGTCTATCTATCTGTCTATCTATATCTGTCTGTCTATCTGTCTGTCTATCTATCTGTCTATCTATATCTGTCTGTCTATCTGTCTGTCTATCTATCTGTCTATCTATATCTGTCTGTCTATCTGTCTGTCTATCTATCTGTCTATCTATATCTGTCTGTCTATCTGTCTGTCTATCTATCTATCTATCTGTCTGTATCTCTCTGTCTGTCTATCTATCTATCTATATCTGTCTGTCTTTCTATATCTATCTATATCTGTCTATCTATCTATCTGTCTGTCTGTCTATCTATCTATCTATCTATATCTGTCTGTCTGTCTGGCTATCTATCTATATCTGTCTATCTGTCTGTCTGTCTGTCTGTCTATCTATCTATCTATCTCTTTCTATCTGTCTGTCTGTCTGTCTATCTGTATGTTTTCTCTCTAATTATAATGGACATTTGAGATTACAGAACAGAAAAATAATGTAATAAAAGCTTTTAATGCCAACAAAACGTAAAACTCACGGCAGGCATACATTTATAGTCAGTTGAAGTTTTACATTTTTTTTTATTAAAAGACTGAAAACACGGAATCTGTTATTTATATATAATACTGTATATAGGTGAATCTTGTACAACATTTCCATGACATATTTTACCCCAAAATATTTTTTTTTGAATAGCATCATTTTCATTTCACATGATTTTTTTTTTCATTAACATTTGTAGTAACTAATACCAATACAACAAATAAAACCATAATATATAAACATTTTACAATTTTGTAAGTTTTTTGCATTGCAGTATTGAGAGTTTAATGGGAAATTCTGTCTGGCATTAAAATATACTTACAAATGCAGTTATAGTTGTACTTATAAGCTTGATAAGCTTCTTTGTGCAAAATATATTGCCTCAATTCTTTCTTTTTGATTTTCAGAAGAAAGTATGACCTGGACATATTCTTGTGAGATTGTAGGGCCTGCACTGAGAATGGTTTTACACATGCCGTGTGCGTATCAGAAGGATATGTGATTACTGTTGCTATGCACAGGACAGCAGAGGTTTGTAACCGAATCCTAACCGCAGTTTCAGCACCTGTTGTGTCAGGAACGCCACAGTACAGACATCCACAGTGGAAAATCACCCACTTTAGACACGGCAGGACGCACTCATTGCATTTGACGTAAAGCATTTTATGGTGTACCGAGACAAAAATGACAATTCTGTTATCCTTTACTCAGCATTAGTCATGTGCTATTTTTCTGTCTGTCTTTTGTGTTGCACAGACGAAAGTCAGTCATACAGGCTTAGAAAGACTAGAATTGTTATTTTTGGAAACCCTTCTGCCCCCTGACTTGTGCAACTACCTGACCTTTGACCTTCGACCGTACCTGTAGTCACGCTCGGTCACTATGGGGTTGCCATGCAGAGTGATAGTGTGGAGAAACGGCAACGCAGCAAGTTTATCCACTTCGGACAACTTACAAATACGGTTTCCATGCAGATACAACAAGCGTAGCTCTTTAAGTTGAGTGAGAACCTGATGGAGAGAGAGAGAATGGTGTTTTTTTTTCCAAAGAAGGTCCTCTCGTATTTCAATAATTACACAAATTGTTGTGCTCAGTTGTCAGAAGCAGGTGGTAAAGTGCATACTGGATGGATGTGTTGAAACTCATTGAAGGAGAGGTCGAGCCAGGCCAGACGGGTGGGCTCAGCGTAAAGAGCGGAGAGTGTGTCCATCAGTCCCGTCAAGTCTGAAAGGAAGTTGTTGTTGAGTCTGAGCGTTGCGCTGAGGATCTTCTGCTCTGAGTCACGCTTTAGTGGACGAGTGCCTGGATTAGGCTCATCAGAGAGCATGTCTACAGAAACACAGAAAGTAAACAGCAATGCACTGCATTCGTTATTTGCAGTGTTGGGGAAAGTTACTTTTAAAAGTAATGCATTACAATATTGCGTTACTCCATAAAAAAGTAACTAATTACGTTACTTCGTTACTTTTTATGGAAAGTAATGCGTTACTTTACTAGTTACCTGAAAAAAGTAATCTGATTACGTAACTTGCGTTACTTATTTGAAAAAGTAACTCAGATATTCTCTTGTAAATTAAAAAGTAATGCGTTACTTTACTAGTTACCTGAAAAAAGTAATCTGATTACGTAACTTGCGTTACTTGTAATATATTACCCCCAACACTGGTTATTTGTACACTACACATTACAGACTAATAATTGTTGTTTATACACAGTTTTATGGTGAGAACCATATGGTAAATTAGTTACCTCTACTAAATTATTATTATTTTTGCCAAGAACAATACAATATACAGACAGCAGCAAATAACGAAGAGAAACAAAATCAAACAAGAGGAATAAACGGGGATTAAAAGCAATATAACCTGGAAATAATGACAAGTTTTGAGAATTACATTTCAATAAAAACAGGCAAAGAATTGCAAATAGATTGTTTTTAAGGTTTTTCTTCTTAGACAATTTAATTGACTATTTCTACAATAAAAAGAAAAAAGAGAGGTCTGGAATTTTGGGATCTGTGATTGTGGGATTTGGTAAGCATCAGATTTATTAATAACATTTTAAATTATAGTAACACACTTAGGCTATTATATATTTCACTCCTGATAAAACCTGAAAATCTTGGATGGGAACAAATTATATATTTACGTCAGTTTATGTTATGTGAGGCATGTCTTGTCTGAAAAAAGTTTTTGTATTTTTAGAATTATATTTATAAAAAAAAATGTTTCCTATGCGTGTTTATGAAACTGTTACACAGTAAATTCGTAAATATTAATTTCATCTTTTTCTTTTTGTTTGTAAAGCTGTAAATAAAGTGTTTTCGGTTCTGTAAACCGGATGAACCGATTCATTGGAACGATCCGAATCAAAAGAACGACTCGTTTACGTATCTGACAATTCTATCATGTTTCATTCGAAAATGTGCCTCATTTAGGAACAATAAATACGTTTCGATTGCCTTTAATGTTGAAAAAGCAGAAAATTAATTCTGACATGAAAATTAAGTAGTTTAATGAGCTAAGTTGTTTGAATTAAAGGGATAGTTCACCCAAAAATAAAAATTGATGTTTATCTGCTTACCCCAAGAAACAAAGTCACCTACATCTTGGATGCCCTGGGGGTAAGCAGATAAACATCACATTTTCATTTTTGGGTTAACTATCCCTTTAAGCAAAACTTTCAAACCGATAAAAGTATGAACTTTTTATACAGTCTATGGTAGAAACTCACCTGAAACTGTGTTGAGCTCCCTAAATGAAAAATCCACTGGAGATCTAAACATGTTCCAACCTCCAGACTGCAGAAAACAAGATTTAAAAACTACAAATTGCAATAAGATTTAAAAGGCCATAGAGCAAAAAAATGTGGATTTACATACAATGGCAATTAAATGTAAACCCAAATAAATTAGTAATTTTAAAAACGTCTCATCGTAAATTTTAAGTGTTCTTTCTTTACCCATAGCAACCTTTGGGTCACGCCAGTATGGGCAGACCACAACAAAATTACTATGGAAACAATTAGCATAGCATAGCATTCTGGGAGATGTAGTTCGTTCGTTTTTCGGGCGGTTTCTTTTTCGTACTTACTTCACTTTCTTTGTCTGTTTCATCATTAGACATGGCTTTAAACGTTATCTTTTCAAATCTCTAAAACTATAAGAGGAATATATTACTTTTTGGCGTTTTATAACGACAACAAAACGCGTCGACTTTTGAAAAACTTCCTACAGGGGCGTTGCGGAAGAAGCTGCGTTTCCATTGGCTACTTTGATTTGAGTCAGCCAATGAGAACGGAGCTTTGCGTCATCACGTGACGGCCAAAAGCTGTTCAGATACAGTCAACGCTCGCTGTGAGTTTGAAATTTGAAAACGTTTCAGATGTGTGTCCTTGCTTCATCTCACCCTGAAATCACGGTAAAAACATTTAATTAATTATTGTATAATAATTATATTCAGCGTTATGTGGCGTTTTATGAGGGCAGTGTTTATACCACGATGATATGTACTAGTTTAAACTGCGAGAAAGTTAGCGGGCAAAATGTTAACTTACAGAGTAACGTAAACAAACAGATCAAAACACACTTGACTTAACTTGTTGAATGTAATTATACTGCAGCAGATATTGTTATATTGCGTTTATTTGCACTGGATAACACTTTGGCAAGTTTATATAAAGGCTATTGATATGCACCATATTTTACAATATATGTGTGTTTTGTTTTAATTTGGTTTTAAAACATATGTGATAATTTTATGACCATTAAAGTATACAAATGTTATGCTGTATCCTTAGAAATGTTCACTTTGGCCTGTTATAGTATCTTTTATCCAGAAGTCTAACAATCTAATAAGTGTAAACATTAAGCACACTTATTAGTCTGTGTGATGTTTTCCAGGTAGGACTGTGTCACTGAATATTATACATTGATTTGTTTCTTCTCTCCACCGTATTTGCTGTAGTATAATTTCAAAATATGTTTTTTATAGAGTTTAATATGAACAAGGCGGGACCGCTCTTGGCATGGGTAAGAGTGTCATCCAGTTTTGTTTTGTTTAACATACTCAAAGAACTAACAACTAAAATATATTGTTAGTCACAGTTATTTAGTCTGCTGACATGTTGGTTTTATAGTCTAAAACACTTAAATGTTTCTTCTTTAAGATGTTTGTAGTGACTGTTGTTCTTTTGACAGATGAATACCGTGTTTCCAGAGAAGCATGTCTGCGAGTTCGTTCCCATGAGAGATGGGATTAGACTCCTGAAGATCTGCTTCAAACTGTGAGTTGCCATTTTGAGACTCTTGGATGGTAAATATGGAAATACCTTTATAACTAGCACTAACCCGGTTTACTTCTGACATGCTTTATCTGTTACTTTAGAAGGGGCACGGAGAACACTGAGGATTTTAAGACTTTATCCCTTTACAAGAAAGTGGAAATCATTTTCAGTGTTTTGCATGGTGAGTTTCAAAATGTTGACTTTTTACAATTTGATGCATATGTTCTGCATCCCTGGCTTTGCATCAGCTGTCATAGATAATAATGCTCGATTGGACGCTTTATGAAATGAATGAGAAAAGTTTTAGAAGTAACAAATTATGCTCTGTTGACAGTATTTGTTGCATAATGTTGATTAACACAGAATATTTTTTTTTTGTGTCTAGGCCTAATTATTTTGAAAAGCGTTATGTAAAGGCACTTGAAAGTGATTATTTTGTAATCTCTCCTCCTGTCATGACCATGTCCTTTAACATTTGCATGATATGCAAGATACAGCAATGTTATTTACATTTACATATATAAAATTGACCCTTATGACTTGTTTTGTGGTCCAGGGTCACACACACACACACACACACACACACACACATATATATATATATATATATATATGTATATGTATATGTGTGTGTGACCCTATAGATGTGTATATGTGTGTATTTTTGTATGCTTGAAATATATAAATGTTGCTATTTTAAAGATAATATTTCCTTGCTTACAACTTCTGTCTTACATGTGCAGATGATTTTCACCTCACCAAAAGACAAAGTTCCCTCATCTTACAGAAGATCAGTGGAGGGATTGACCTGGAGCTTCAGCTTGCTAAGGTATAAATTTGTGCTCTAAATCAGGGGTTTTCAAACTAAATAAATAAATAATAAAAAGTAAATAAATGAAAATTATTATAAAATGATGTCAAAGTAAATGCATTAAATAGGTTATAAAATTACTTAAAATTAAGTAGTAACAGGTGAAAAATAAGTAATAATATTTGTATTAAATTAAGTAATAATAAGTAATAAAATTACATTAAGCAATACATTAATAATATTATTATAATACATTAACAATACTGCAAAACAATAATTAGGATGGGCGATTGCATGAGTGATCATATTTGGGGTCTGTGATATCAAAAAGATTGTAAACCCATTGAAAATGACATGCTAATCATAGCTTTGTATTTATGCTGCATGTGTGGAAATGTTTTTGCATAACAAAAACGAAATCATCTCATTACGTACTCGCATGTTGTCAAGCTTGAATAAAAAAGGCAACATTAAAGTGGTTCATATGACTGACTTACTCTCCTATATTCTAAGTTTTCTGAAGCTTTGTATGAGGAACAGACCAAAATTTAAGAAATGACCTTCACTGAGTTCTCTAAATTTTTGTGACTGTGGTCACTTATACCAAGCTTATTTCTTGGATGAATTGTTCCTTTAATGATAATGCAGGTCAAATGTTGTGCACTTATTTGTGTTAATGTATGTGTGCAGGTGGCGCTTTTGCTTTGTTACTGCACTTTTAAAAAGGGCATTCTGCTCCCAATGGATTCAAATGTAGAGGTGAGTGTTTACTAATGACCGCTTACTAGATACTTTGCTTTTCTTAGCTCCATATCTAGTGTTACTGCAACAAATATTGAATTTTAAAATTGTCACTCTCTAACATAGGTTCTTATTTATCTCTTTCTCTGTCTGTGTCAGTCGGAAGTTACATCCATGTTTCGTTTTGTAAAAGATGATGCTGATGATCTGTCTTTAGACGAAGGTCTAGATCAGTTTCTAGCCCAAGACTGTAAGTAGTCACATTGCTTAGTGAATTGGATAATGTTAAATTAAATCTATGCTCGTCTATTAATCATCTATCTCTCACATGCACGCTCTCTGTAGCTTTTATGAATGCTGTGAACTCTAGCAGTGGAAGCAGCGGCAGCTCGCTGTTATACACAGATGACGAGTCTCCGATCGTCGGCCGATCCCAACGGCCTCCCAGAGTTCAGTTTCAAGAGCTTTGTACAGTGGCTTCCAGCTCGGACTGGTCAGTGTGTTTTTTTTTTCTTCTAATGGACAAAGCAGCTTCTTGACTAAAACCATAAAAAAGGTTAAATGAGTCACTGCTTTAAAAGTTGTAATTGTATGGTGACAAGTACGGCAGTGCTAATAGAAAAGAAATTTATTTACATTAAAATGAGCATTTTATTGATTAATATAGCTGACTTTTTATATGTTCAAATATAAAGGAATATTCTGGGTTCATAATATTGAATACCACAAAAATGAATTTCCACTTTTTCTCTCCTTGAAAATCAATGAAAATTTATTTGTAAACGTTAAAACGTTTGATTGTGAAAAAATGGATTACTAACTTTTTCTGTACAAAGTTTTATAAAAAAATTTTAAGGTAAAAGTTAAAAACAACTTTTTTTGCCATGAAAATGCAATGTCGTAAATCCTAAAATTACTGTAAAAATTATTTAAACATGATTACAGCTCAAATATTATGTTTATAAATTTTAACAACAGAGTTTATCTTCATAAACTTTCTGCTTTTAAATCCTTCAAAATTGGTCCCATTCACTTCCATTATGAATGCCTTGCCATAACCTTGATTTTTTTTCCCTTAAGTAAAAAAAAACAGCGCTTTTTTTTGTGGTAATCAACATAAACTGCACATATGCACAGATTAAGCGCAACTCGATGACAGAATAGTATTTTAAGCTTGAAATATTCACTGATTTTGGAATATTTTGCTTTCAGGGAAGACAGAAATGTTGCTTGATGTTGGAAACATGTAGAGTTGCATATGATAGTTTACTGAATGATAAATTCCCAAATAATACTCTTACGTTCTTGATCTCCAGCTCTCCAGTGCAGGATGTTATGAGCACGCCGCATTTCCAGCTGAAGAGACTTCGGAAAGAATTGGCACGTGAGGGAGACGTGAGAGACGAGCTGGAGAAAGAACTGGCCAATCAGATCAGCATCATTTCAGAGAAGGGTACAAAAGAGCTACCCATCCATCACCATGTTTCCTTTAATTCTAGTATGCTGTCTCGAGTGAATGAGACATAATGTGGTGGTCTGGTATGAACTGGTTGAACTTTTCTCTCTCTTTTGCACACAGAGGGTGTGATTTCGCAGTTACAGCACAGGGTGGAGCGAATGCTGCGGGAACAAGGAGAGCTGGAGAAGGACCATAATGCCGCACTGCTGGAGCTCCAGGAGAAGAACGAGAGGTGAGGTGCACTAAAGGTCAAATTTGCGTTTCCAGTAATTAATTGAAAAAAAAAAGTTTGTTTAAAGTAGAGCCCGACCGATAGGGGTTTTTGGGGGCCGATACCGATATTCGGGAGTAAAAAAAGGCAAATATCGATATATCGGCCGTTATTCTTTGTGTATATTATAGTGCAGTACCAGTCAAAAGTTTGGACACTTTCCCATTCGTGTGTCCAAACTTTTGACTGGTACTATATATAGAATACAGTATATACACAAACAGAATATATATACATAAACACATTTTTTGCCATTATCACTCAAATGTGGTGATCAAACACTTATAATGATGTGACAAAGATATGTAATTTAACAATAAACTTTATTATCCAAAATGAGTCTGACATCAGTGCACTGAACAGTAAAGTTGAAGTTTATTCAACTTTATTTCAATTAAATTCCATTCAACTTTATTCCGATTAAGTTTTTTTCAGTTCGGAACATTCATTCACGGATTTGTGCTACTGTCTCCACACACAGACGAAACTTACTAGAGAAGTGTATATTACAGAGGTAATATACCTCTGTAAATAAATACAATTTAAATTCACGTCTCGCGCACTTTAATGCCCTTTGAATGTAACCTGTACGTTCCCTTCGAACTG